AAAAGCGTCGCATTTCAGAAAGGTGGGGCATAGAGGAGAAACAATAATGTACAGTATGTAGAAAATAATGTGTTATTTGAACCTTAAACCGCATAAACACATTTCATTACACCAAATACATGAAATAATGTTCTTTTTAGCAACATCATATGACCCCTTTAAAATAATTAATCAGAATCATTAATGCTGTATTAAAAATTTAATTTTAAAAACATAAAAAAATTAATTAATACTTTTAAAATAAATCTTTTAATAATATTTTTTATCTAACTTTAATATTAAAAGCAACCGAAAAATCAAACCAGCAAAAATTTAATCTACTTTTAATTAAAAAAAATATATATATTTTATGAAATAAATAAAATAAATATTAAAAATGTAATTTAAGCAACTTTTCAATACTTATTCAGCAAATACTGTTGCAGTTAATTTTATTAATTAATCAGAATATCATGCAATTAATTTGATTACAATTTTTTAAAAGCAATTGACAGCTCTATTATTTACTAGCAGCCACATTTGCATGTGTGCAATAAGTGATATCCCATCTCTCACCTCTCCTCCTCGCCCTCCAGAAGCTTCCGGTAGGCGCTGATCTCCATGTCGAGTGCGAGCTTAATGTCCAGCAGCTCCTGGTACTCGTCCAACTGTTGCTGCATGCGATGCCTCATTTCGGCCATCTCTTTCTCCTTGTCCTCCATACGACGGCGCATCATGTCCCTCTCTCTGGATAGAGCCTCCTCCAGCTCACGGATCTTCGCCTCACGAGCAGTCAACTAATGAAGAGAGCACAATCGTGCAATTTAAACAATGTAAATGAATGTTACGAGTCTGATTTTTAAACTCAAATTTAAATAGTTTACTTTCTTTGTGATAAAAAATTTTTTTCCTAAAGAGAATAATATATATATATATATTCTGAGGGTGGAGTTTTTCTCCATCAAAAAGTGATTTGCGTATAGTTCTATTGCAAGTTATTCTATTGTAGGAGCATTGTGGTACACATGTACAGGTATGAGGAATTTCAACACATTGCTGCCTTGCCAGCACTGCAATAAATACTTGTATGTATGAGTGTGTACCTGTTTCTGCAGCTGAGTGAGCTGAGAGGTCACACTCTCCAGCCTCAAACGTGTCTGCTGCAGTTCCTCATGGGCGGCTCCCACCAAATGGCTGTTCCTGTCAGCCGACTGACGGGCATTCTCCAGCTACACATAGATAACACAGGATGACATTTAACTGATAGATATGGTGTATGTCTTTATATATAAAAATATTTCAACAAATACGGCTGGCAACGGATCAGTCAGCAAATATGTATACAGGGTGGGCCCGGTTTAACAAGGTGCCTCTGGGGAGATACAGAAACGTAGATCCTCAAAGTAATTTGTAAATCCACCACATTTGGCGGTTTGCTCTTTGACTGTTCTATTACCTTGGAGTTGTAGGTCTTCTCAATTTCATCCTTGTAGATGCGAAGCTGTACTTCGTGTTGGTTACGGAGTTCAATCAAAGCCTCAGACAGTTTACTCTCATACTCCTGCTGGCGGCCACTGTCGATTTCCACCATACGTGACTCATGTCTGCGCTTAGACTCACGGAGCTCCTGAAAAAAAGATTACAGTTTAGAGTAGCAGAGAAAGTCCTGCATGTCTTTGTTTCAGAACCTGTAATTTACTTAAATATGTTAGCAGACAGAAGTGAATGCTCAGATGATTTTTTTTTTACTTTAAATGCATAAGAGAGCTCAGCTTATGTAGATGTGTGTGTGAGACCTCAGTGTAGATGTTCTTCTGGAAATCCAGCTCCTCTTTCAGGGTCTGGATTCGGTTCTCAGCATCCACACGTCGTAGCATTTCATCCTGTAGCTGCTTCTTAGCATCATTCAGACTGCCCTCCAGCTGCAACACACATATTCACTTCACTAACTTCTGTATCAATTCAATGTTAAAAGCAACATACTATGCAAAATACTTCTTAAAATCCTATTAGCATGCAAGTTTTGTTTTCTTATAAAAATATCTAAACATCTAATCTTGTGGCTCTCAACATTTTAGACTCTAAGGCCCCAAGACAATACAAGAAAACCCTCCTATCTAAGCTGATATGTACTTCTAGTATTTCTATTGTAATAAAAAAAAAAAACACATGAGTTTATAATAAATAAATAAAAATAAACATTAATGTGAGTTTAATGTTTTACATCTTTATTTTTGGTGTTTTTAGTATTTTAATTAAGATTATATTAAAGGTGGGGTAAGTGATTTTTCAAAAACGCTTTAGAAAACTGATTCGGGCCGACTAGCAAAACAAACTTGTAGCCAATCAGCAGTAAGAGGCATGTATACTCATGATGTGGAGGAGAGAGCGTTCAGTGCACATGACGGACATTAGCCGAGCGTATAAAAAATAGCAGATAAAAAACAAAAGAGGAAAACGTCTACGGAACAAAAGAAGGCTTAAGGCAAGAAGTAGAACCCGTGTAAATATCGGATCAGCTTTCCAGCGCTGGAGAGAACTCAAGGAGCGGAAGGCCTGCGATCGGACGCAGAGGTTGCTCGATAGGAGCAACGATAGGTTCTCGATAGGAGAGTAACACCGTGTCTGCGCCACAACAGCTAAAGTCTGTCTAGTACACTGGACGCGACAAAGCGACCGTTGAAAATCATTTGAAATTTG